GGCCTGTGGCCATGTGGGGCATTTTCTTGATTGTTGAGTGATATGGGAGGGCCCAGCCCACTGTGGGTACTGCCACCCCCAGGCAGGTAGGCCTGTGTTGGATAAGAGAGCAGGCTGAGCAGGGGCCAGAGGAGCAAGCCAGTCAGCAGCATTCCTCCATGGCCTGTGCTCCAGCTCCTGCCTCCAGGTTCCTGCCCTGAGTTCCTACCTTGGGCTCCCTGATGAACTGAGGCCTGGGAGATGTAAGACAAATAAACCCTTTCCTCCCCAAGTTGGTAGTGGTCAGAGTGTTTTATCACAGCAATGGAGAAACAGACTAGGACAGAAATATACCAAATAGCAACAATGCAAATATCCCTCAGCAGATGAGGGCATAGTAAGTGGCGACACACCACACAGCAGGGTAGACCGAGCCATGGCCTAGGAACCACCCTTCACAGTGTGTCATGGGCCAGGAGCACACCGCCTGAGGGAGGGGCCAGACAAAAGAGAGCACGCCAAGACCACTGAAGTTCACAAAGCTCAGCAAACACAAAGGGTCAGGGATGGAGAGGTGACAGGTGGTTGACTGGAGACAGGGCTGGGGCTGGGGGGGGAGGTTTGACTCCAGGAGGAACAAACTGATCATAATGCACATACAGAGAAACTTTGTGCCTATGCCCCAATGTCTGTAGCTGATGCAATGATTCCTCAATAAAACAGCAAAATCGGCTGGGCATGGTGGTATACACCTTTGACCTCAGCACTCGGGAGGCAGAGGCAGGCAGATCTCTGAGTTCAAGGCCAGCCTGGTCTACATAGTGAATTCCAGGCCAGCTGAGGCTACAGGGAGACACTGTCTTTAAAAAACAAACAAACAGGCTGGGCATGGTGATTATGCCCTTAGTCCCAGCACCCAGGAGGCTCAAAAAGACAAAAAACAAACAACAAAAATAACCCCCAGCAAAATCAAGCAATCCCCAAAGCTGTGGGTCTGACCTATGAAAAGGATGAAAGGCTTTTCAGCACCATCATGAAAACAGTGCACACTGATTTCAATGAAAATTACCATAGTTATAGATCGGTCATGGTGGCACACGCCTTTAACTCCAGCACTCAGGAGGCAGGGGTAGGTGGATATGTGTGAGTTTGAGGCCAGCCTCGTCTACATACGGAGTTCCAGGAAGCCAACGCCATATAGTAAGACCCTGTCTCCAAAAAAAAAAAAAAAAAAAAATTGCAACACTTATATTGGGCTGGAAACAGGAGGGCATCAGAGTGACTCGACTCTATCCTAAGAATTCCTTAGCATAAAGCTAAAAAAAAGAAACGGCATGAACTCTTCTCTTTAGACATTCGGAAGCAAACAGCACATGGAGCCGAGCAGCTACCTGAGTGGGGGACGTGGGCAGCAGGGGGTTGGGGAGTGGGGGGTGGGAAAAGAGCTGACTTATTTTTAAAGCAACGCTGCACTGCTTTAATATAAATTCAAATCCCAGTCGTTTGATCCAGCAATTCCACTCCCAGGTTCTTGCCCAAGAGACATGAAATGTCCCAGGATTTCACATGCTTCACTACAACATGTTCACAATGGTCAGGGTGCAGAAGCAACTCACATGTCCACTAACAGGTGAACAGGCCAGGTGTGGTAACACACTGCTGTGATCTCAACACTACCAATACCCAGGAGGGGGAGGCAGGAAGATTTCAAGGTTCACACTAGCCAGGACCACAAAGTGAAACCCTGTCTCAAAAAAGCACTCCCCCAAACAAAACAGATGAACAGGGTCTATCACACAATAGAATATGTGACCATGACTGAGAAGCTCTGACACGTTACCACAGATGAACCTTAAAAACAAGCCCCGTGAAGATGTCAGATACGACCTCATGCACTGTACAGTTCTCCGTAGATGTACAGAACAGTAAAGTCCACCCAAGACTGGGGGGCGGGAGGCTGGACAGGGAGTGACTGCTGACGGAGCAGGGCTTCTCGCAGGAGTGACAGAGAAGCTTCAGCTGTGGACAGAACACAGGTACAGACAGAAGCCTGGGGTGTTGTTCAGTGGTAAACTGTGTGGCACGTGAATCATGTCAACGAAGCTGCATCAAAGAAAGATCTGAGTCAGGCCGGCACCTGGCTGACCAGCTCTGGACAGACGGACAGACGGACACATATACTCAGGCCGGCACCTGGCTGACCAGCTCTGGACAGATGGACAGAAAGACACACACACACATACACACACACTCCGGCTGGTACCTGGCTGACCAGCTTTACACACATACACAAGACTGGCACCTGGATAACCAGCTCTAGACAGATAGATGGACAGACACACATACACACAGGCTGGTACCTGGCTGACAACCTCTACAGGTACACAAGATCGGCACCTGGCTGACCAGCTCTCTATACACACACACACACACACACACACACACACTGGCGCGTCCCCGGCAGCCCCCACACAGACACAAGAGCGCGCCCCGGCGGACCACCGCTCTATATACACACACACACACACACACACACACACACACACACACACAAACACGCGCGCGCGCGCACGTATGCAGGCACCTGGCCGACCACCTCTGTGGCACACAAAAGCCTACACAAAGAAACTACCTGTTCAAATCACAGCCTTGAGTCCTGCTGCTGTCTGTGTCCATGTCCCCCCTGCCCCCGTCCAATCTGGTCCCGCAGATCCTCACGAGTTCTAAGGAATGCCGTCAGCAGTTCTGGAACCTCCTGGTAGCCTCAGACAGACCTGTCACTCACTGCAGGACTGCCAGGGCCTGGCTTTTTTTTCCGCCTCAGGTAGGCTCACTCTCCATGTGACCACAGAAAGTACCTGGCAGCCTAGCACAGAATGAGAAAATGCTCCCTTCACACGCACGTGTAGGGCTTGTGCACAGACACCTATGGTGTCCCCTGAGGGGTCAAGACTGTGAAGGAGGGCACCTTTTATACCTGGACCCTGGCACAGAAGCATTAGGATAGGACCCCACATGGCCACCAAGCAAGCACAGAGCTGGCCATCCAGTGCCCTGAAGGCCTCCAGTAATGCTCCCCCGCCCGTTGTCCTCCTCATCAGCTAGTTGAGTCTGCAGGTTTGACCTCCGTGTGGCACCTGGCATGCCATCCACTGCACCCCCAGGCTTCCCTTCTCAGGTTGTCAGGGTCTCCCAGTTAGCATCACATCTACAGGAGGCAAAAGGCTCCCTCCAGAGCCATTAGTGGGCAGAAGCGATGAACCCTCTTTCCAGACCAGACCACAGTCACCTGCTATGGCGAACCATGGCATCTGTGTACAGCCTGGTCCCATCTACCCAGGCAGGTTCCATGACTCTGTCAGTCAACACAGCAGGCTCTCATGAACTCTGGAGGACTCAGAAACCACGAGCCCCATGGCTCATGGTGGTAGGTCTCAGTGTTCTCAAACAGAGCCCAAAACAAGGTCTAGATTCTGTGTTAAAGGTTGTGAAAGGTACAAACAGGGCTGGGGGCAATAGTAGGCAGAGCTGTGTGCACAGGACAATGTCTCTGCCCACAAGCCATGGAGACATGAGAGTTGGATTAACAGAAGCACAAAGAACCCAGACCCTCCAACTTGCCAATACAACCCAGGCCTCTCGCTAGTCAAGAGGAACCACCGGCCCCAAAGCAGAACAGAAGGCCCAAAGCCCAGGAGCCACATGTGAAAGTACACTGGACCGCCACAACCTGACCCATAGCCTGGCATCCTGTGAGGAGGGGAGACTTCAGCTATATCGCACAGACTCCCCCAAAGGCCAGTTTGTAACACCTCACAGAAGCCCATGGATTAGTCCTCCTAGGACAGTGACAAAACACAGGCAGGCATAAGAGTACAGCCCACCTGGGAATCCATGCTTTGAGAGGTTGCAGATGGGAGAGGGAACACACCTCCAGGGGCTCCACCCTTTCCATCTGTCGTCATACAAGAAGGATCCAGTAAGTCAGTCAACACCCTCAGTCTAACTCTCCATACAGGTCCCCTGTGTCAGCCACTCATGCTGTCCCCAGCACCTTTAAACAGGGCTTTGTCCGCATCTCCTCTTCCCCAGTCACGTTCCTTGGGGGAGACAGCCCATCGTCGGTATGAATTCCAAGCAGCACCCTAAGGCTGACTGGTGCATGCCACTCTCAATGGAGGGCACCCTTAACAGCTCAGTCATTTTTTCATTTGACAGCTAAAACCCAATCAATCCTGAATCCAAGAAGGGCGAGACAGGACACCCAGACCTGCTGGGTGTAACCAATGACTCAAAAGGGTCCCAGGGTTCTCTTCCCCATCAATGACTTACCAAGTTCCTTGGAGCCCTGGCTCTCGCTGGCCAGCTCCCCCATCTTTACCAGGGCATCGAAATAGCCTTTGGCAGCAAAGGTCACACCTGAGGAGAGAGGAGAGAGGGGTTACTTCTTGCACGGTGGAGCCCATCCGTCACCCAGGCCTGGACAAACTCGAGCCCTCTGGCTGTCTCTGAATGCTGCTGTTGCCTATGGATGCTTACTCCACTGCTGTCGTGAGAGCTTCTTTTATCTGTAAGAACACAGTGTACTGTGCAGGTCCAAAGCTATTCAAGTCAAACTGCAGAGCGTGGAGCCCTGTCATGTGTTGTTTGATGAGGGGGAGGGAGTGCTGCTTTAAGTGCTATGTACCAAAGCGCCTACTGACCCTGGACAAGACCACCACAGACCTGGGAGGCCGGAGGCCACTGATTTTCCCAAAGGTCCCAAGCCAGACTCTGAGAGAGAGAGCCAATGTCCTCAGTCTCAGAACAGGATCTAACCAGAAGCAGGGTTCATTGCTCAGAGCAGGCTACAGGAGCACTGGTGCAGCCACAGGGGCTTCCCAGGTGTCTCTCAGAGGCACTGGTTACTGGATATGCCAAGCGCTGCGCTGCAGCCGCCACGAACAGAGCAAGTACACAATTGCTTGGTCTAGACTTCCTCCCAGTGACCTCCACCCAACTCTGCTCTGGGGTGCCTGGCAGACTCCTGCTTCTAGGGAAGGCCCCACCTACCTATCCTTCAGGGTGTGCAAAGCAGGAAGAAGCAGAGGGCCTGGAAAGCAGGGCCCTAGGGAGCAGCAGTGGCACCGCCACAACTATCTGCTTTCTGCAGAACTTGTTAGGGGCTTGTAACTAGGCATGTTATCAAATTTATTTATATGGCATGGCTCTCAATTAAGCACACACAATTTGTTCTGTGGTTTAAGACTGTGTGCCCTGGGGACTGAGGAGCTTCTGCTGCCTGGGAGGGGTCTACCCCTTAAAACAAAAGGAAGGGAAACGAAGGAGAAGTCGGGTCTCAGGCTGAGGGGTTGTGGTGGTGTGGGTGGCCTGTGAGGCTGAGCTCAGTATGGACAATCAGGGAAAACAGGAAGAGGAGTAACCGCCCAGACTGTCCACACACAACTCTGACAACCACGTGAGGAACCCAAGCGGGAGCCGGAAAGGCCTGGAAGGAAACCTGTGCTGGAGCTTCAAAGACTCAGAGGATAACAGAGGAGACGGCTGCTGGCCTCCACCAGACCCACAGCGAAGGTGAGATACCCCTCCAACAGGACGCTGGGGAACAGAAGCCCACCGCCCAAGGGAGAGCCACACCAGGGCAGCAATCTGCCACACAGAGTGGCCGTGGAAAGGGGCATCACTGGTCTGCAATGTGCCAGACCCACTCCTGGTTCTCATGGGATAGAGCCACCTGGGTCTCCCAATTTCTCCTGACACGGTCCATCTGAAAACCAGAATAGGCCTGGAGAGCTGGCTGCATTCAAGGTTCCGGGAATTCCTTTTTAGAGCACAGTGTGCTGTGCCTGGAGACAGGAGGACTGCCCAGGACGGAAGCCCTGTCTCCAAACTACACCTCCCCTTCCTGCTTCCAGAGGCTTCTTCCAGGAGTCCACATCCAGACAAGAGGAAAAGCCAGCTCTTCTTAGGACGTAAGAGAAGCTTCTGGAAAGCCAGATGTTACTGTAGGGGAGTGAGAGCTGGGTGTGATGCCAAATGCCTCTCCTCTCAGCACTCAGGAGGCCGAGGCAGGAGAATAGCACAGAGTATTAGACTAGCCTGAGCTACATAGTCACACTCTGTCTCAAAACAAAAACAAAAGCCCATAAGCAAAAGAAAACAAAGAGCAGTAGGGAGCGATCAGAGACCGGAGGTGTCCTGTCTGTGTGCGCCCCTCCCCCCAGCTGGCGTTTGCAGATGTGTGCTACTGCACTCAGCTTTTACATGGGTGATGGGGATCAGAACTCAGGTCCTCATGCTTACTAGTACTTGACTAAGTCTCATCTCCACAGTTCCACATCCCCATACGGCTACTTGGGTCGGTGTGTGTGTGTGTGTGTGTGTGTGTGTGTGTGTGTTGTGTGTTGTGTGTGCGCTTGTGGGATGGAGTCAGAGGAAGATGGCTGGTGTCCTGCTCTATCACTATCTGCCTTATTACCTTTGAAACAAGGTTTCTCCAAACCTAGAACCTGCCTGTGTTGCTGTCTGGCCAGCCTCAGCAGTCTCCTGCCTCCACCGACCCCTCACTGGGGTTACAGGGTCACAGGGCCATGCCTTGCTTTTATACAGCTGCTGAGGAGTCATGCTTGTGTGGTAAGCACTTTACCAACCTAGCCATCTCCCCAGCCCCATGTGGCCACTACTTTAAGCAACCTGAGAGGCTCTTCCCGGGGCAGTGACCATCATCACAACCTGGGTATCTGAGATATCATGAAAACCCTGTAGAGGCTGACACCCATCCCCCAAAGGGGATGGCAATTTCAGAGGGACAGACTCTATATGCATGAGCTCTGGGACCCCACAGGCCCCTGCAGCTGTGCCACTGAGTTCAAGGCTACAGAGAGGAGTAGGACAAGGCAGCAGCCCTCCAGCAGCCCTGACGACCCCCATCCTCATGTCACACATGATGTGGTGGAAGCCACCCCTCAGGACTTCAGGTCAATGCTTGGAGTTCCCACTGACCAGGATGGTGAGCTGTTCTCCTATGCTCCAAAAGGGAAAGCTCTGCCCTGGTGTGGCCTCAGTGACCTGCTCTATGCAGGATCTACTAAAGGGGCAACCTTGCCTGCAGCAGTCACCAGAATAGGCCAGGGTCTCTGGAAAGACTCAGACATAGGAGGCTACCAGTAGGACTGCACCTCCAAGGTGAGAAAAGCCTGTTCTTATACTGGATGGGGCAGGTAGTACATACACAACAGTAGCTAGACAGTTCCGCCTGGACAGTGTGACCAGGAACAAGCCCATGATGCCAGAGCTCAATCACATGTCCTGTTCACATGGTACAGGAGGCACAACAAGACCATGCTGACCAACTCCAACCCTCTCCTGCCTTTAACTCGAAGCCCCTAACTGAACAGGCAGTTCCCCCTCATGTGGGGCCACCGCAGGATGAAGCTGCAGAAGAGGATACAGTGTGCAAACTTGGGAACAACACTCTCCTGCTGGGGGGTGAGGGGTTCACGCAGAAAGATGTCACAGCTGGAAGCTGCTAGAACATGGTTAGCATAGGCATGGTCACAGGTGCAGGGAGGACCAGCAACAGGGCCCAGAAAAGTGGCTCTCCAACAAACAATGCAACTTGGCTCCACTGGGGCAGAAAGGCTTAATGTACTCTGGGACCAACAGTAGTAGGCTGGCAGCCCTTTCCCTCCCCAAGCTAGGGGGTGTGGATACCAAAGAAATCTGTAAGCCCAAGGATCCAGCACAGGTACTCCAGTCCCCACCAGAGTTGCAGCATGTCCACTCTCCAGGGAGAGGATGCAGGTGCCAGATCTAAGGTCATTGTGCACCAACCCCAATCCTATACTTTGCATAAGATTCTGAAGGACAGACATTCACACCCCTGTCTGCATGTTACTGTAACTGTGGAAAAAGACCAGCCTGTATTGAGACCAGTCCGCATGGCAAGGGCTTGTGGTCACACAGACATCAGAGTTACTTTCAGAGTATAGGGGTACCCACACCTCAGCTCATCACTGGCTTCTACCTAGATTGCAAGGGGCTGAGGAGAAGTTCATCACATGCAGGGGGTGGTAGGCAGGGCTGGGGATGCAGGGGTGGTAGGCAGGGCTGGGGATGCAGGGGTGGTAGGCAGGGCGGGGGATGCAGGGGTGGTAGGCAGGGCGGGGGCCACTGTACCTGCCAGCGCTTTCTCATAGTTCTTGCCCATGGCGATGAAGTTGCGGAGGCTGGGGTTGAACTGCTCCATGATGGTCTGGAAGAGAGCAGAGAGAGCGGCATCACCTCACCACCATCCACACAAGTCCTTCCCATCAATCCAAGTCTGAGCCCCAGCTCTGCCTGCTGCAAACACCCCAGAGCAAGGAGCCCTGAGCCTCACCATTCACCCCTCTACCCTGGCGTTAGCAGGGGCCTGCCGTAGAGAGCCGTCTGCAGAGAGACAAGGGGTCCTCATGGGGCCACACAGCACAGGTGGCACTCACAGGGATGGATTCCAAAGCGCCAGTCCTCAGCCGGCGGGGCTGAGTCAGGCGTGGGAGGCCACCCGTCGGCCACACACAAACACTCGGTGACAACCCCCCACGCCACCATCCTAACTCAACACACCAATTACCAGCATCAGCTCTGATTAGAGCAGTACACATCCTGATTTACAAATACCACTCTATGAATAATCCAACAGGCTCAGGATCTGTTTGCCTGACGGACTGCAGTCTCTGTGCCAATATCGGCAGTTCTCAGACTCAAGAAATTAGGTTTTCACTGCGAAGGCCAAATAAATGTTTTAATTACAAGGCATAAAAACAGGCTCACACAAACAGCAGCCAAGTGAGAATTCTACCAGTAGAACTCTCACAGACTATCAACAGCCAATGCCAGCAAGGGGGACCCCCAGAGAAGAAAACCCAACTGGGTCACATCCTAAACCTCTGGGGGTTTGTCATGCTGGGAGCCTGACCCCTCCTGAACAGGAAGGAAAGCCACCTGGCTCTGCACCAGGCCCATGGAAGGCTGGAGGCCCCCATCTGCCCAGTCCAACCTGTGGTCCTTCTGGTGAGGCAACCCCCGCTTCCAGCTCTATCACAGGCTGAGGAACCAGTGTGTCGGATGAGAACACTTAAGGACATGAAGCCCAGGGTATGGCATTCCTGACACATGGCAGGGCATCCTGAGGAGACACTGAGACCCTTACTCTTGAGGGAATGAGGACTCACGTTCTCAGCTACCACCCACCACCACCACATGTGGCCTGGCTTGCTGACTCACTGCCTACAGGAACCTCAGACAGAAACCCTGCTTAGCCAGGTCCACAGGGCTGCTAGCACTGCCTTCCTGGCCACCTCCTAGCCCAGAGTCCATGGCGCACAGGAGAGATGCAGGCACCACCTGGCTTCCAAGTCCCATCATACAGCCAGCAACTAGGGAGGAAGGCAGAAAGGCTCCAGAGGTGGGGAAGGGAGGGCAGAGCCCAGAAGGAGGCAGGGAGGGACAGGTTGTCAGGGCTAGAGAGCACCTCAGGGCAGGTGGAGGTAAAGAGGCAGGAGGTAAGAGGAGAGGAAGTGAATGTGGTAACGTCCCCTGGACAGTACAGGAAACTCCAAGGGTCTGAGCAAAGCCAACCTGGCCACGTTTAAAAGGCCCCCAGCTGCACAGATTTTTGCCTAGGAACCAGGAAGCTGAGGGGAACTTCCCTACAGCTCAACTCTCTGTGAAGGGAAGGAAGGAGGCTCCCGCCAGGGCCGGATTCCTGTACTCGGCATACCAGGCAGTGACTGACAGGTGGGACCTGCGTGGACAGGAGAAGCAGCCCTCCAAAGGCTCTAATCTGGAGACAGGACACTGAGGTGGCACAGGTTCACCTGAACAAGGGCCTGGGGAACCTGGTCTAGACCCTGCAATCCAAGGAGCACCTGGGAACCAGGCAAGAACATTGTCCCATGGGCAAAATGCTGGGGGACACAGAGTCTAGGAGTGACCCAAGAGCTTGACTCCAGGAAAACCCTTGGGTGTCCTGGGAGAAGAGAAGGCTCAGTCCACACCAGTCTCTGAGCTCCGTGAACATCCTAAATGACAGGAAAATATGCCAGAAACTAGCTAGGGCCAAGTAAGGCAGGCAGCTGGTATACCAGCCATGCCACCTGCGTGCAGAGGGCAGCTGTGAGGTTTCACTTCTTCACTGCAGTTAGCTCACACAACAGGAATGTGAGAGTGAGCCAGATGGGCAGTGTGGGTAGGGGAGTGCCAGCCGGGCCACCCTTGGTATGACCACAGCATCGCCTGGCCGAGAGCGGCAGCCAGCTAGGAGACACCGGTACTGCTGTCTTGGTCTGGAGAGGGTGGCAGAGGCACGAATGCCGCTGGGCTGACACGGAAGGCCTCTCCTGGCCCTAGAAGGGCAGTCTCCTTCCAGGTCTGCATAGCAAAACCTACCCTGGCTGAAGAGCGGTCCTCCTCCTCCGGAGCCCTACCTCCAGGATCCGAACCAATGCCACAACCTTCTCTGGGTCACTCAACTTTCCAGAAACCTTAGGAGAAAGATTTGGTACCTCATGTAGATAGCAGCCCCTATGGTGGGACTCTGTGTCTTTGTGTGTGTGTAAGGGTGTCCTCTCCGAGCTCTCAAGTCCACCCCATCATCCTAGGTGCATGCAGAGGCCATTCTAACCTAGAGGGCCATGCCTGCCCCCAAGAGAAAGCCTCCTAAGACAGGCTCACACTCACCCAGAGGCCCCAGTGGCAGTTCCTGCTTCACCTGACCCAGCCCCCCGGGTGCGTGCCCTCCAGGCCTACCTGCTCCAGACTGGCCCCTCCTGAGGGGCCAAGTACCAGACTGTACAAGAGGACGGTGCTCTGCTCCAACACTCAAGGGAAGGGCTTGCTTGCTGTAAAGGGGAGGGAGTGTCTTCCTTACCAACCCCAGAGAGCACAGAGGGAAAACAGCAGCCAGGAGTGAGACATCTTGACCTTGAGGAAATAAACTCAAGACTGGGAGGCAGAGCCTCCTGGTTCATGCAAGCTTAAAGCCACTATCCTCTCAGGGGTGATACACAGAGGGTGGTGCAGTCCTGATAGGCTGCTCTCAAAGCTGGGGGGATCTCAGGGCATCTTCCCCTTCCAGGACAGACTCCTACTTGAGGAGGGAGCACACACACTTCCTTCAAAACCCATGGGCATGTTCTGCATGTCAAAACCCACCTGTTGTGATCTCATGGCCCTGTGCTCTGACTAGGGCGGCCCCCTGGATAGCCTGCCTGGGCCAGAACTATATTTAGCACCACAATTCTTTTACTTATTCACCTGATCATTCAGTATTTATTAGGGACACCTTCTATATGCCAGGTAAGGCTTTGGGAGTGCCTGCAAAGACTGGGAACTCGTGGGAGACTTTATCCCCACAGAACACATCCTGAAAGGGCTGAGGGAAGAGAGCCCACCCAGAGATTATCAGAGCTCAAGACAAATTTACAGATGCCTCCCCTCTCCTGGACTCTCACAAGCAGGGTGTCCTACAGGCTAGCTTCAAACTCACAGAGATCCACCTGCCTCTGCTTCCCAAATGCTGAGACTAAAGGTGTATGCCACCATATCTGTCTCAGGCTCAAAAATGTGGTGGCGGGAGGGACCCTCAGCCAACCCACACCAGACCCTGGATGACCCACTATGCCATTTTCACAGGCACAAAAGGCAAGGGCTGAGCCCACTAGCTGTAAGGTGCTGCACTGGCACAACGCTGATGGGCCCTGGGAGCCCTTCTAACTGGCAGCCTCCTGGCTGTTCCCAGTCATCTTGCAGGTGACAGGCAGGCAGACCAGGAAGGACACAGGGCAGCAGCCCGGCCACCCTATCCTCTGCCTACTGAAGGAGACAAGAGGCTGGATATCTATAGAAAGGAGGTCCGTCAAGGGATCCTGCCCCTCAGCTCCTACCCATGCCCGCTGACTGTCAGCTTGCTGGGGGAGGCCACACTTCCACACAAGAGTGGTGCCCAGGGACTTAGGGAATTTGCCTACCATACCCTGATTTCCTAGGGCTGTTTGAAGATCCATGTCTTGCTTAAGTCACCAATCTGAGTCATCATCTTTCAGTACCAAGCCAACTAGTGCTGGATCATTCTCACATCTAGCAGGGCAGAGCCAGATCCTGAGCCTTCCCATCACTATAGATTATAGAACTCTGGGAGTCAAGGGTCAGTGGCTACTCAGCTCTCTCTACATGGCCTCTGGGGTCCGCCCAAGGAAACCATATTACAGCAATATGGAGAGAAGGGTAAGGCAATACTCAGGGTAGCTGTTATCCAAAGAATGCCTCTAGGTGAATCCTGCTAGCTCTAGCATCCCAGGGACCTAGTGTTGTCCTCTCTGCGCAACCCCCCAGCACCCTTCCCCTCTCACTGCAGCCTGGAGTCACTGGAAAAGCAAGCAACAACTTTTCAGCCCAAGCCCAGTATAGTGCGACCACCGAGGGTGGGGGATGACACCCCACAGCATCCCCTAGCTCAGGTGCAGTTTGACCCAACAAGACTTGCCTAGGATACCATGTTCCTAGAGATGTACAAGCAAGACAGGGCTGTAGGCAAGACCCAGAGAGCCCAACTTGGAAGCCTGGGCCCCAATGCATCTAGTACCTGCTGGTAGGTGGCAGGGTCCTCTGTGGAAGATTTTCCAGAGCTTGTTGTCCTGAAAGTACAGGCTCAGTCCCCCACTACAGGCAAGTTCAGGCAGGAAGAGGGCAGCACTGGGCCTCCCACAAAAGAAACACCCAGGAGCTTAGGAGAGTGGGTTAAGGGCCCTACTCACAGCACCAGAGAACTTAGGGGAGCTGTGGAAAATTCTACCTCCTTCTAAAACTTCAGGATCCTCTTGGAGGAATAAAAACAACTCTAGGAATTCAGTGAGCACAGAGGACCCCCGGTGGAGCTAGACCCTGAGTTGAACCTTGCTTAGAGACAGAGTAGGCAGGAATATGGGTTTTTTGGGGGGGGGGCATTCTTTTTGAGACAGGACCTCCCTATAGCCACAGCTGGCCTGGATTTACTATGGAGACCAGGCTGGCCTTGAACTCACAGAGATCCACCTGCCTCTACTGGGGTTAAAGGTGTGCACCACTACGCCCAGCTAGAAATGTGTATTTTATGTGTGTCTGTGAGCCTGGACTGTTCCATGGGAGAGGACTGGAATCTCTGCTCCTGAGGGAGTGGTGGTAGGATTCCACCAGGCCCACAGGCCAGCTTCTGTCCCCTGAAGAGGTGGGCAG